TGCAACGATGATGATGATGTATGTTCAGGGCTGCATTACAACATTGATTGTTCGGATCACTGGTATCTAAGTCTTCCGCTGTGTTATCTTGTACTTTGTATTGAAAGGTCGGTTCTTGTTCTGGTCAGCACGTTACAGTATGCAACACTAGCCATTACCCAGACACATTCCCCTACCCAAAACTGTGGTCTCTGTTTGTTCTCGGAGGAGATCATTGCCTCCTGATATTTTCTAATGTGCTCGACAGCCTGCTGCGGCAACTTCTCATACTGGATACCGAACTCTATGGTTCCAGGCGTTGCAGCTGGTCGGTTTTCAGGAAGGAGGAAGTATAGTGCAGATCTAGGCTTCCACCCCAAATGCAGCTCATTCGGACAGACGCCCGTGGTGTTGTGAACAGCATTGTTGTACAGGCTGGTGATGAGAGGTAACTTCTCATCCCAATCATCCTGGCTGGGCTTAATGTAATGCCTCAGCTGGTGCTGCACGACGGAGTTCATCTACTCCGCTTGGCCGTTGGCTTCGGGATGATTCCCCGAAGTCATTTGGAGTTGGCTGCCCATCCGTTCAACGACCATCTTTCACATTTCATTGGTGAACCGGACATCTCTGTCACTAACGATTGTCTTGGGCAGTCCAAAGTCATGCACCCAGTTATCCATGAATAACTTGATGACGTGATCGGTCTTGGTAGTCTCCAGCATAGGAATTACTCTAGCGTACTTAGGAAACCTGTCTACTACGACGAAGATGTGCCTCTTGTCACTCTTGCTGGTCACGAGGGTATCCATGAAATCCATGGAGACACTTTGCCCCGGCCCCGCAGGAATGGGCAAGGGCTTGAGTAACCCAAGTGGAGCTTGAGTTCGCGGCTTATCCCGCCTGACAGACTTGACAAGTCTGGGCGTACCTCTTCGCATCGGCAAGCACACCAGGCCACCAGAAACGCTACACTAAGTTAGCACTTGTCTTCTTGTAGCAGAAATGACATGTCGCATCATGACATTCACCTAAAAATAAACCAAGTAAAATATCACTAAACGACACACACGGTCTCTTGAAACCTACCTTTTCAAGAAAGAGTAACCCATCCACCATCACAAACTTACCATCAGATGCGGCCTTGTCCTGGATCTCTAGTCTATGCATGATGTCCATCATGACGGGATTTTCCTTATAGGCATCCACCATTGATCAAGTTACATCGTTAAATAAGCCAGACTCGGTACTTAGCACACATAGGTAGTCTGCCCTACGTGACAACGCATCGACAACCTTGTTGTACTCTCACTTCATGTAGTCTAGCTTAAAGTCATATTGATCTATGACCTCAATCCAACGTTTGAGTGTGTGGGAGAGAAAGGGTTGTGTCTTGATCCACTTGACTGTCTGATGGTCAGTCCTCAAACAGAAGAACCTACCAAGTAGATAGTGCCTCCAGTGGACAAGGGTGTTGTAAAGGGTGTAGAGTGCCCTCTCATAGGTTGACTTCGCGAACTTCTTAGATCGCATCTTCTTACTCATATACTCGATCGACCTCAAGTTATTCCCTTCCTGTTGGGCCAGCATTGCGCCAATGCCGTATTGGCTTGCATCAGTGGTCACGATGAATGTCTTCTCAGGATAAGGAAGCATGAGAATCTCATGATGCATAAGAGCATACTTCAAACATTTGAAGGCTCCTTCACATTCGTCTGTCCAGTCCCATGGTGTATCAAGGCGTGCTAGATCAGTCAAAGGGGCGGCCACTATACTATAATTCTCAACGAAATTGCGGTAGTGGTCGGTCATCCCTAAGAATGATCAGACCTCAGTCACAGACTAAGGTCGTGTCCAGTCACGAATACTAGTGCGAGGCACAAGGCCTCGACGAGCCCTACCGGGCCCTGTTTTTCCAGCAATGTCGGCCGCCCTAGGTGAAGGCAGGCCCGACCAAGGACGAGAGGCCTATTTTGGACTACCATGCAACTGGGCAAAATTCAGGCAGTTGCGCAGCGCCAATTGGTTGGAAGCGCCCCAGGCCTTGGCCGCCTTTTTCGATGTATCTGAGGCAGGCCCTGGGCCAGAGACACAACATGGGCCGAACACAGGCTGCAGACAGTTGAACGCGGGTAACTGCTCTAGGCCCCGGGGCTGATTCCCTGGACCGCGCTCAGCCACTTGGGGCCTACCGGAAGCTTATGGGCAGGGGCCCAGCGCAGCCAGGCCGCACGCAGCGGGCAGGCCACTTCCATATAGGAAAGTGCATGCCCCCGCATTGGGCATTCGGACACTTGCTACATGTTGCACAAGCGCTGCAGCGCTACTGGCAGGCAAGCGCCCACACGCTCACGGGCGAGCAAGGGATACGCAGGCAGCCATAGCCGAGCTGGCCTGCGAGGTGCTGGATGAGGCACATGGTGGTTCTCCGTGCACGTGGCATCTGTGTGGGGGATCGAGGTTGTGAGTGATACGAGAGACACACCTGGTGCTTGAGGCGAACGACATTGACCGAGATCTGCTCGTACTTCGGGGAGTTGCTGACGTCACCAGCGGCATTGTAGATAGGTTGGATAGGATCTGCCATTTGTAGTCTGGGCGCAGAGCGCCAGGTAGGAAGTCGACATTGGTTCTTTGTTGATGATGATGAGACTATTTCAACATTGTCGCTTGTGAGCTTTTGTTGTGCTCTTATTTGGTGGAACTCAAGTTGCAATTCTGCTTTTGGTTCGAGGTCATGACTATTTGGTTTTACGTGTATGATGCTGCTTGGTTTATGGAATCGCTATCGCTCATTTTCCTTGCATTTTTTGTATCGGAGCTTTGGTACGTTGCGCTAATCAAGCGCTTGTCTTCTGCCTATGCGGTACATGCATGTGGTCTGCTGGGTGAGCGACCGTAGGGAGTGTGTAGTGAGGAGGGCAAAGGCAAGCAGGCGACCCAGGAGGTGAGGGGTATCGCCAGGAATGCTATGAGGTGAAATCGGGTGTTCGCAGTATGATGAGAACTATCTGATGTGCGATTGATGCTGAGGTGGAACGACGGTGTACTGATGGATGTGGCGATGCAGTGATTGGTCATCACAATCGACGTCAGGTCATCTGGTGAGAATATATGTGGTTGGGGGCAGCTATTTTGAGGTACGCTGCTCTTAACCTTATCTACCCTCTTCGACACTTCTTACTGTGAGGATGTGTGTTCAATCTTGAGAGTCCTCTCATGTGAGGAGTCGAGCGAGCTCAACCTTGAGAGTCGGCAATGTTCACGTCGAGCATCTGGAAGGAGAGGGCGGAGCTATCTGAAGGGCCCTGGACGAAGCACTGGTCATGGTCACCATGCTAACCCATCGGGAGTAGAGCACGCATGTTTTGCTGCTTTGTCCTTTGTCTGCCTTCTGCATTGTTAGATGGGTTATGAGGGGCAGGCCAGCCCTACAGGGGAGACGAGTACCGGACGTTTATAAATAAGTACCGACGGGGTTACCTTCCATTGGCTGTGATCGTCGTCCTGTCTGCGACGTTAAATAATTCTCGAGGACTTCGGGGGCCGTCCTTAAACGCCTCTTGATCAGCCAATCTGTCGGTGCAAGGCTTGCTGCACGCAAGGGTAAACATGGTGCAGGGCTGGCCGGCTCAACATTGACTCGGGGCACAGGGGTGGGTCGTGTGCACACCTTTAGACACACACACTTTCTGGATTGCTCAGGGACGCTGACATCAAGAGACATTCAAGAAGAACTGAGGGAGTGGTAGATTTCAGGTGATAAGTTCGGGAACGATTCCACCTTGCCAACAGCCCATCAAATGATTCTATTTTTATTTTGATTAGTTAGATGTATAACCATTAACATCTAACAGACAGCATAGGTAGAACAATTTCTGCTCATTTGCTTTCTGTTGGCGGACTAGTCAAAGTATAATAGTTTCATTGGTAGGAATTTGGACTTACCTGTTGGACCCAACTGTGTATACTCTGACATAGCCACCGATTAATAATTTTATTTATGTTTAAATTGGTCTGAGCACTACGCTGCGGTAGGCAACCATTTGAAACCTAGTGCAGACAGTGGGCAATGTTGTGGCTTATGAGCAACAGGGAGGTTCCTGACCCGAACGACAGGATCTTGCGATCGCATGATGCGCGTTGCCCTACGTGGCATTAGGACCCGAGGGTGACAAATTTATGTTCCGCCAGCTTAGGGAGAGACAACAGCAGCAGCGGAGAGCTAGGGTCGCAGAGGCAAGCAGGGCGTTCGCAAGCGAAGCCGCTACTTTAGCAGCCATGGCCACAGCTACGCAGCAAAGCTCCCAGGCCAGTAGTTCAAGGACTGTAGGGGCGACGATTGCACAGACCCTAAGTCAGTCCGCTGGCGTTATGGCAAGCCAGCAGTTAGTGTTAACTCCCGAGGAGGTTGCCATAGAGAGAGCAAGTGCTCAAGAGGCACAACTACAAAAGGCTTTAGATGAGATACAAGCAAAAAAGGATAGAATGATCAAAAGAAGGTCTATGATGCAGTGGAGGCAAGCAAACATTAGAGAGTTAGAGGAGATGGACCTGACAAATATGGATGATGATGTGAGGACCATGAGGGAAGCCCTGTTAGATGTAGTAGAGATGCAGGACTACCACACGTCGCTCTTGCAGGACATTCAGCGAAGCTTCGCCGTGCTGGTCGGGCGAGTTCAGGTAGCACCATCACCATCAGGGCCCGGTGCCTAGCCCGTGGTACAGCCTCCTTCTTTTGTCCCACAGGTGACTAGAGTATCCCCATTTCTAGTCTCTCCAGCATCGGTAAAAGCCGCTTCCGTACTAGGAATGCCTTTGACAGGCCGATCAATAGCAGGTCCCAGTATACAGGTTCCGGTACAGACAGTGTTCTCCCAACCGCCGTTGCAGCCTGTCGTAACTGGGCAGCCTGCCGTCTCACAGCCCCAGCAGCAGCTGGTGCAGCAGCCTGCACCCTAGGGTCCATAGCCTGGAGTGGTGCAGGTACCGGGACAAGGTCAGTGAGTTCCTAAGACCGCTATTGCTTCGCCTACACCCTTCTCAAGGGATAAGAGAGGCGAAGACCTTGGCACATGGTTGACGTCGGTGCCAGTCTACGTGAAGTGCAAGTTGACCTTGCCGCACGAGGAAGTGCTTGTGGCTGCCTCCTACCTGGAGGGGAGTGCAACAAGATGGTTAAGCGGGTTAGTACAATTGCAGGGATACGGTCATGACTTTCGCGCTTGGGCAGTCAACCAGAAATTGGATGACTTCCTCAAGTTGGTAGAAGAAAGGTGGCATGATCCGCAGAAGGCCCAAAAGGCCACTGACGCGATCCTGACCCTGAGCTCCAGAAAGTTCAGGTCAGTGAGGGATGTCACAGACGCTGTTGAGCGTCTGATCTGTGTACCTGGAGTGCGGTACGATCCCCGGGTCTTACTTACCACTTACCTGAGGTGTCTTCCTGTAGAACTCCGGAATCAGCTGCCAGGTGAGGCAAATATCACAATACACAACTTCCCCTCGCTTAGCAAGAAGGCCCTGGACCTAGAGGCAAAGATAGGGCATGGGCACCAACCCACAACGAATGGTAGGAAGAAGGCACTGCCTCCCAACTGGAAGGCGAAGGGCCGCATTATGTTCGTCAATAACGATGGTTCCACCATCGAGTTAGATGACGACTTCCGAGAGGGAGTAGGTTCAGAGGCGGGCAACGCAGAGGCTTCAGGGGGTGGAGCAGTCGCTGCCTCGGTCCAGAAAGGTAAGGCGACCGGTAGACACCGCGGAGGCTCCCGGTCTAGGAGTCAAGTAGACCCCAACACTCCTCCATGGGAGAAAGCGGGTCTCACAGAGGACATATGGAGAGACCGTTACACCCGGCAAGCTTGTATCTGTTGTGGCCAACATGGCCATAACCAGTTCAAGTGTCGAAATAAGAAGGTGACGGAAAAGATCCCGCCTACAATGGGGCAGGTGCCGCCATCCTCCGCTTCCCAGGGTAGCAGTACACAACTTTCCTTCGTTTAGCAAGAAGGCCTTGGACCTAGAGGCAAAGACAGGGCATGGGCACCAACCCACGACGAATGGTAGGAAGAAGGCAGTGCCTCCCAACTGGAAGGCGAAGGGCCGGATTATGTTCGTCGATAACGATGGTTCCACCATCGAGTTAGATAACGACTTCCGGGAGGGAGTAGGTTCAAAGGTGAGCAGCGCAGAGGCTTCAGGGGGTGGAGCAATCACTGCCTCGGTCCAGAAAGGTAAGGCGACCGGTAGACGCCGCAGAGGCTCCCGGTCTAGGAGTCAAGTAGACCCCAACGCTCCTCCATGGAAGAAAGCAGGTCTCACAGAGGATGTGTGGAGAGACCGTTACACCCGGTAGGCTTGTATCAATTGTGGCCAATATGACCGTAACCAGTTCAAGTGTCAAAATAAGAAGGTGACGGAAAAGATCCCGCCTACAATGGGGCAAGCGTCGGCATCCTCCGCTTCCCAGGGTAGCAATGTTGCCAACAATTTTGGCACTGCTTCGGGAAACACGTCGGCCTAGTAGGAATGGTAGTTGTTCCTGCTAGGGTCGAGATGGTGGACACACCCTCACCATCCCGAGAGATGCCCCAAGCTACTGACTCCGTTGTCGTCCCGCAGACACATGCAGACCCATGGATCCTCTGTTTGATGAATGTGTTTGAGTCCTTAGAGGAGCTAGAGGAGGAGTGGTCTAGATTGGACCCGTTAGCTTCTTGGACGGCCATGGCTAAGGCTCCTAAGGGTGCGTTGTTCGTCGGCGAGGTAGATATAGGCGGTCGCAAGGCCGGGGCCTTTTACAATACTTGCTCGACGAGGAACTTTATCAGTTGCGCGTGCGTTGAGAGGCTGCACTTACAGGGGCAAGTGCAGCGCCTGAGTCGACCTGCCTGAGTCGACCTACGGAGCCAACAAACAGCGCATGGTAGTCACAGACTACCTCAAAGACATTGAGTGTCGTTCCCCGTGCGCGGGAGGGGAACTGAGACATCGAGTCTCATTCCTAGTCAGCGATGATGTCCCAATTGCTATCCCGTTGGGTATGTACTATCTTCGGTTGCACGACCCCAGTTTGACTGGGACCAAAACGTGGTCAAACACACTTTGCTCGGAGGGGGGACTGCCATATTACGTAAGTATAAAGCTAGTAGTCTGATTAGTCTATGTCTCTACAGAGGGCGACCCAGTGAAAATGCCTCTAGAGATCGAGGGAGTGGTCGCTAAGTACCCTGATTTATTTGAAGAGCCTAAAGGGGTTGTTTCTCGGGAGGTTGTCCACGCGATAGAGATTATCCCAGGGTCTAGCATTCTGAAGGGTAGGATCTATCGGATGTCTCCAGCTGAGTTCGATGAGCTTCGTCGACAACTCAAGGAACTCATAGAGAAGGGCTGGATTCGGCCGAGTGTCTCACCTTACAGATCTCCTGTCTTATTCATGCCAAAGAAGAGGGGGACCTTGAGAATGTGCATTGACTATAGGGGCCTCAATGCCATCAATGTGAAAAACGCGGAGCCCATACCGCGCATCAATGACTTGTTGGACCGAGTGCAAGGGTGTCGGTACTTCAGTAAGATAGATCTGAAGTCCGGGTACCATCAGATTGCAATACGGCCCGAGGATCAACACAAAAACGCTTTTCAGACCAGGTACGGTCTATACAAGTTTGTGGTGATGCCTTTCGGCCTTTGCAATGCTCCTGGCACCTTTCAGCACGCCATGCACCGGATCTTTCATGACTACTTGGACAAGTTTGTCATCGTGTACCTCGATGACATACTTATCTTAAGTAGGACTGTCAAGGAGAATGTTGGCCATTTAGACAGAGTCCTAAGCCTCCTTCAGCAGCACCAGTTCAAGATCAATCGGAGAAGTGCGAGTTTGACCGCACCTGGATCTTGTATCTGGATCATGAGATTTTCGCAGACGGATTGAAGCCCGATGATGCGAAGGTGGCCAGCATTCGTGACTGGCTGCGTCCGCAGTCTGTGACTGAGATGAGGTCCTTCTTAGGGATGAACGGCTACTACCATAATTTTGTGAAGAATTATAGCATAGTGGCCACATCTTTGACAGACCTGACACGCCTTGACACCCCTTGGGAGTGGACAGACAGGTGTGAGGCTGCTTTCAGACATCTGAAGCACTCCTTAACACACCATGAGGTCTTGAAACTTCTTGATCCTGACAAGCCATTCATAGTAACCACGGATGCCAGCCAATATGGCATTGGTGTTGTGCTTGCGTAGTAGGAGGGGCCAAAGTTGAGGCCAGTCGAGTACATGTCCAAAAAGATGCCCTCTCATAAGTTGGCTAAGTCCACCTATGAGAAGGAACTCTATGCGATCTATAAAGCGCTAACCCACTGGAGGCACTACCTCCTTGGGAGGTTCTTCTACGTTAGGACTGGTCATCAGACCCTGAAGCGGATGAGAACCCAACCAGTGCTCTCTGATGTGCTGAAACGCTGGATCGAAGTCATTGAGCAATATGACTTCGAACCCCAGTACATCAAAGGGGAGTATAACAAAGTTGTTGATGCGATGTCGCGTAGGCCGGACTTCCTTGGTGTGCTGATCACTGAGTTCGGGCTTGCAGACGATGTCACTCGATCTTTGGTGGAAGCCTATGCGAGGATCCGTTTATGGCCAAGATCATACGCAGACTCAAGGCAAAGGACAAAGTGACTTCTGCCGAGTTTGAGTTGGTCAACGACGGTCAACGACCTGCTGTTCCTTGAGAAGGCCGGGAATAAACGTTTGTGTGTGCCTAATCAGGAGTCTTTGCGTAGTTTATTTTTAGGAGAGTGTCATGACGCCACAGGACATTTTGATTACAAAAGGACTACAATCAACTTGCTGCAGCAGTTCCGGTGGCCCACAATGATGAGAGATGCCAAGTTGTACGTGGAGACTTGTCAGGTATGTCAGAGAGACAAGCCACGTACACAGGCCCCTCTTGGGCTTCTCAAGCCCCTTCCGATACTGGAAAGGCCTGGTGAAGAGCCTGTCCATGGATTTCATGGACACGCTGGTCACCAGCAAGAGCGGAATGTTCGATGTCTATGTCATTGTGGATAGGTTTAGTAAGTACGCTAGGTTAGTCGCAATGCCTGCAACAGCCAAAACCGAGTATGTGATTAAGTTGTTGAAAGAAAACTAGGTCAGGGATTTTGGATTGCCGAAGTCTTTAGTTAGCGACCGGGACGTGCGATTTACCAGTGAACTGTGGAAGGCCGCAGCTGCAGAACAGGGGACACAACTGCAGATGACCTCCGGGAACCACCCAGAGGCAAATGGGCAAGCAGAGCAGTTGAACCGCGCTGTACAACACCTGCTAAGGCACTACATCAAGCCCAATCAGGTGGAATGGGATGAGAAACTTGCTCTCATCGCCAGCCTGTACAACAACGCTGTGCACAGCGCAACCGGGGTGAGCCCTAACGGCCTGCTACTGACCTTCAAGCCTAGACTGCCCCTAGACTTTCTACTACTTGAGAACCAGCCGACCGCTGCACCTGGCACATTAGAATTCGCCTATCGATATGAGCAATTGATGCAGCAAGGGGTGGAACAGATGCACAAAGCTCAGGCGGTAATGATAGAATTTGAGAACAAACATGTCGTCCATCGGCATTTCAGGTAGGAGATAGAGTTTGGGTTATCTCCTCTGAACTACGGCAGGAGCACAGTATCTCCCGCAAGCTCACACCACAGTACTTTGGACCCTGGGAGGTTCTAGATGTTGTTTGGGGATGATCCGGACGGGCCGTCATATGTAATACAAATCCCTGGTCACCTTCACACTTACCCTGTCTTTCTGGCCTCCAAGCTCGCACCTTTCGGAGATACTGATCAGTTTCCCTCTTGTCGCTCAATGCTGCCCCCAACCATGGATGAAGAGATCAACATCGATGACATCGTGGATCACAGAGAACTGCCAGTTCCAAGACCAACAGGAAGGGGACATCCTTCGAAGCCGAAACTGCTGTATCGCGTTCGGTTCAGACATCACATTGATCCAAAGAAGGACCGATGGTTTACAAGGGAGGAACTGATGCAGACCGCTCCATAGGTTGTCACCCAGTATGAGAAGTCTCTGCAAAAAGGAAAGCGCGAGATTGAATAATGGAACTTCTCAGAGGACTCTCGAAGTATGGAGGAGGGAATGCGAGGCACAAGGCCTCAACGAGCCCAACTGGGCCTTGTTTCCAGCAATGTCGGCCGCCCTAAGTGAAGGCAGGCCCGACCAAGGACGAGAGGCCTATTTTGGACTACCACGCACTGGGCAAAATTCAGGCAGTTGCGCAGCGCCAGCTGGATGGAAGCGCCCCAGGCCCTGGCCGCCTTTTTTGATGTATCTAAGGCAGGCCCTGGGCCAGAGACACAACATGGACCGAACACAGGCTGCGGGCAATTGAACGCAGGTAACCACTCTAGGCCCTGGCCTGATTCCTGGACCGGGGCTCAACCACTTGGGGCGTACCGGAAGCTTATGGGCAGGGCCGAGTGCAGCCAGGCCGCACGCAACGGGCAGGCCACTTTCATAGAGAAAAGTGTTTGCCCCTGCATTGGGCATTCGGTCACTTGCTACATGTTGCGCTACTGGCAGGCAAGCGCCCACGCGCTCACGGGCGAGCAAGGGATACGCAGGCAGCCATAGCCGAGCTGGCCAGCGAGGTGCTGGATGGGGCGCATGGTGGTCCTTGGGTGCACGTGGCATCTGTGTGGGGGATCGAGGGTGTGAGTGATGTGAGAGACATACCTGGTGCTTGAGGCGAACGGCATTGGCCGAGATCTGCTCGTACTTCGGGGAGTTGTTGACGTCACCAACGACATTGTAGATAGGCTAGATAGGATATGCGATTTGTTGTTTGGGCGCAGAGCGCCAAATAGGAAGTCGACATTGGTTCTTTTTTTATGATGATGAGACTGTTTCAACATTGTCACTTGTGATATTTTGCTGTGCTCTTCTTTGGTGGAACTCGAGTTGCAATCTTTTGGTTCGAGGTCACGACTATCTGGTTTCATGTGTATGATGCTGCTTGGTTTATGGAATTCGCTATCGCTCATTTTCCTTGCACTAGCCAACTTTGCATCTTCGGGCCTAACTCCATCCGTGGATACTTCATGACCTAAGTACAAGATTTTGGTGCGACTTGATTCACATTTTTCCTGATTGATTGTTACTTGTGCTGTCTAAGGAGGCCTAGCACGAGATCTAAGTGTTGCGCATGATCCTCGACAGTCTTACTAAAGATAAAAATATCGTCGAGGTACACGACAATAAACGTATCCAAGTAGTCATGGAAGACCCTATTCATGGTGTGTTGGAATGTACCCGGTGCATTGCAAAGGCCAAAATGCATCACCACAAACTCATACCGACCGTACCTCGTTTGGAATGCGGTTTTGTGTTGATCCTCCGGTCTAATAACAATCTGATGGTAGTCGGATTTAAGATCTATCTTAGTAAAGTATCAACATCCCCGCACTCTATCCAATAGGTCGTCGATGCGTGGTAGAGGCTCAATGTTCTTCACAGTGATGGCATTGAGGCCTCTATAATCAATGCACATCCTCATCGATTCCCCCTTCTTCGAAACAAATAATATTGGTGAGCCGAAGGGGGAAGTGCTAGGCCATATCCAACTCTTCTCTGTGAGCTCTTTCAGTTGCCGCCGACGCTCGTCCAATTCGGTCGGAGCCAACCTATAGATCCTCCCGTTTGGTGTCTTGCTATCTAGGATGATTTCTATGGTATGGACAACCTCCCTGTCCACGACTCTTGAAGGCTCCTCAAATAGATTGGGGTACTTAGCAATGACAAATTTTATCTCTAAAGTTCATCTAACGGCCTCCCCTTTCTCAAAGACGAATACTAAGTACATACCCTCCTCTTGGTTTTGGTTGTAATAGTTATAGAATGCAGATGCACATATGCACACGCAGAAGCCAACTAACCTGCTAGGTCTATACTTAGCAAGTGCAACGGTCCTCCTATCAGGCAACATATACTTGAACACTTTTCGGTCCCAATTAAATTGGGGCTTGGCACCTCGAGGTAGTATATACCTAACAATATATCCAATGACAAGTCGTCGCTAATTAGGAACGAAATTTGATGATTAAGTTCCCCACCTCCATAGGAGAGGGTGCAGACCACGTCCCTGGCGTAGTCTTTGACCAACATGCGCTCTTTGTTGGCTAGAGTAGGTGCTACAGATCTACTCAAGCGCTGCACACGGTCCCCTAGGCGCAATCTCTCAATGCAGTCGCGACTTATAAAGTTCTGTGTGGAGCAAATGTCTACGAAGGCACCACACTTGCGGTTACCTACACTGACTTCCACAACGAACTGCTCCCCTCTAGGACCTCTAGACAGTGTCACCCAAGAGTCACGGGGGTCTCTTGCCGACAACTCGGTTTCTAAGTCTTCTAAGGTTTCAGACACATCTAACGAACAGAGAGTCGTTTGGTCCAGATGCGTCTGCGGGGTGACTAGTGAGTCAATAGTTTCGGCCAACTCCTGAAGTGGTGAGGGTACACCATCCACTTCAGCATGAGTAGAAACAACTACAAATTCTACTGGTTAGATGTGTTTCCCCGGGTTGTACTCGACGAAGCACCACCCTGGGCGAAAGATCCTCCAAAACCACCTTTGGGAGGGATCTTTTGAGAGACCTTCACATTCTTTTATCTAAACTTTTGATGGTCATACTCATCGCAGTTGATGCAAGCTCCTCGCCAATACCGGTCCCTCCACACATCTTCATCCAGGGCAGCCCTCACCCAAGCCGAAGTCTTGTTTAAGTTTTGCACCTGCCCCTGATTTTTTTGCTGCCCGCCCTTGTTGCAACCAGCAGCCTTTCCTTTGGTTGTTGCAACGAGGTTTTCATTCTCTGCCTAACTTTGTTTCTTCCACAAGATCGGAAAGATCACCGATCTCGGTTTAATTCCCTTCGGAATCAACCATCATCAATCGATTACCCTGTTTCTTCCACTCTTGTGAAACCTTCTTCTTCCTCCCATCTACAACTATTTGTTGAGCCCCTCCGAACTTTGCCTCTAAATCTAAGGCCTTGCTGCTAAAGGTCTCAAGGGTGTGATATTCGATGTTGGCCTCACTAACCATCAGATTCTTGATGTATGTGGGAAGACATCTCAAGAACATGGTGAGGAGGACTTGGGGATCATTGCGAACTCCCGAAACTACAACCAGTTTCTCTACGACATTGGTCATGTCACGCACGGTCTTGTACTTCTTAGTATCAAGACAGACCAGCGTATCAGTGGCTTGTTGAGCCTGTTGAGGGTTGTGCCATCGTGCCTCCACCAAGTCCAAAAAGCTTTCCAAGGTCTGGGTCTGTGCCCAGTCGTTCATCTGCATTGCGAATCCCTTTGCCGCTACATACCTGTTCAGCCATCTCGTTGCCGATCCTTGTGAGAAAGGAGCGGCAGTAATCACCTCCTCCTCACACAGAGTATGCTTGGCCCTCACCCACAATAAAACAGTCAACCAAGTATAATAGCCTCGTCCTTCTTGTCCCATGTGAAGACAATCCGGGGTTTCATTGGGGTCTTGGGGTACCAAGGTTGCTGTGGTTTCGTCTGTTTGGCTTGCTGAGCCGGTGGCTGGACCGGCTGCTGCCTTGCAACTGCAGCAGCTGGACCTGAGGATGAAGAAGCAACATTTTGTGCTGCTGCTGCCTACGTACCACCTGCTGAGACGCCATATAGAGGAGCAAAGGGGCCTGTCATCGTTGGTAAAGGAACTGGCGATGGAAATGTTGTCTGAGGTCGGACACTCGGCCCGCCAGGTATGGACGGGTGTGGTCCTCCTCTTCCCTGCATGACGTTCAATATCTGGTCAAGTGTATCCTGGATATCATCTAGTTTGTTGTCCATGTATGCATACATGCTCAACATACCCGCCTTGAGAATTTTTGCAGTGTCGTCAAGGGTCGAGTCATCTAACCCTTCTAATGCAGCTTTGTCTTCCCTTCTGTTCTCTGACCTGGCTTTTCTATTCCTACTCTATGTTTTTCTTTCAATAACTTCCTTAAGTTCCGTCTCTAACCGTAAGGGGATCAACTCCACTTGTTGGAGTTCAGTTGCCACTCTAGTGCGTGAAGGTGGCTGGTTGTACTGTGAGCCTGCCATCTGACTGGAAGAAGTGCCTGCACTCATCCCACTAGACGTAGACTGCGAACTGGATGACATGCCTAATGTCTACTGACCCTGAGATGTAGCAGCAGAGGTAGCCATAGCTCCAGCAGTGGCTGCTGCCGCTGCCAGTACTTCCTCTGCTGCTGCTGCTGTTTCCCTAGCCCTTTGCAAACATTCGGCAGATGCCTCCCGTCGTATAGCTCTCTTGCCCTCAGGTGGTAAGTCTTGATGCATGATGGGGATCCTAAGAGATTCCTGTCGTGTCACCCTTCTCCCTTCAGATTTGTTGTCCCCACTACCTTGTCCACTCATCGGCTAAGCAGATCACTATCTGCACTAGTGCCCTCACGGAGGCCTACCACTACATGTGTCTAACCGATTTGGAAAGTAAATAAAAATAAAATTAATCTTCGGCAAGTCACCAAGGCTACCGATCAAGTGGTGTCAACATCATCTACATAGACTGAGCAAATGATCTACTCCTACTTCGATCAGTTCTCTTACTACAGTTCTAGTCTAGTGCTGTCTGTCAGGGGTTAGCAGTCCGTCACACCTCAACTAATCAAAAATAGAAATAAATCACTTGCGCAAATGTATGCAGAAATGGAAATAATAATGTTTGTGAACGAGCACCAATTGGAACCCTCCCTTCCCTATGTCCAACTATCTTGTGTTGCATCATCAAGCAACAGTGTCTAAGGTGTGCTTGTCGGGCCACCCCTGTGCCCAAGAAATCGTTTATCACCAGTTATGCACTTCTTTTTATCCTCGTGTGCAACGAGCCTTACACTAACATCCTGGTTGATCAAGAGGCAATTTAAGGAGAGCCCCCAAAGTCCTCAGGAATTATTTAATGTCGCAGACAGGATGACGATCACAGCCAAGTGTCGGTATCCCCACCAAAGGTTCTTTATAGACGGTCTCGTACGTATCTTCCCCCACATAGGACTGGTCAGTCCAAGACCTCTCTACAGGGCAGCGAAGAGCTCAAAGGACAATGCAGCATGCCCTGCGTGCGCTACTCCCGTGGGTTGGCATGGTGACCGTGACCCGTGCTACGTCTAGGGCGCTTCAGAGGCACCGCCCTCTCCTGCCAGATGTGCCACAAGGAAGAATGTCGACTCTCAAGGTCGAGCGCTCACGATTCTTGACCAAGAAGAGGAGTCTCAAGTCGTACTCACTTCCCCATGGTAAGAAGAGATTGAGATGGGAAGATAAGGTAAGGGAACAACGAACATGAAGATAGCTGCCTCTAACCACAAATTTCCAATTAATTGAGCCGACGTGCATGCTGATGACCGGTCATAGCCTTGGTACCACACACAATGCAATGAAGTGCCACCTCAGCCAAAATGCAATGTCAGCATGCTCGCATCATCCCACATACAGCCGTTGTCGCCACAACCTTCTTGCCAGACTCCCCTCTACCCGGGACTGGCCAACTAAGTCGGCGCCAATGTATCCTCACTGCGTAGAAGCTTCGTCAGCGCGCCAAGTAACAAAATCGACAGCGCCGGTAATGGCGATATTGAACCAGCTCCAATACCAAATCGCAAGGAATGCGAGCGAGAGCGAGAGACGGAGATTCAAACTGCAAAATCACAAAGTAGCCCAGATAGTCATGTACCAAGCAGAGAGCACAATGCACCAAGATACCGTCCAAATAAGAGCAACACAATGAACTCAAATGTCAATGCCAACGCTCTCTGGTCACACCAACACAGTATCCAATGTCGCTCCTATTGTCTTGCGCTCAGCACCCAGCCTACGCTACTGAGCCTATCTAACTGCATTCATGCAACCGGATTACATCGAAGTTGAAGACCAATGTACGTGACGTCATCACCAATGCCAACCTCCAGCATACACCAGGTACGTTCTCTCTCCTCCCCTCTGCATGCGCCTCCTACCCGAAGACCACCATCGCCATCACCTGCTTCCCGCACGCACAGCCTGGCTATGGCCACCGTGCGCCCGCTGCCACCGCAGCCCCTCTCACCTCTGTGCCCCCGCATGTGCCCTGGCCAGCAGCGCTAGTGCAGCTGCTTGTGCGACGGTGCAGCAGCGTGGCCCCATTGCCTGCACAGACCAGAATGCCCTGCCCAGGGGCACACCCTTTCCTTTATGGAAAGTTCGCCAAGCTGCTGGCTGGTCTGGGGTAGGCGTGCAGGGCCCAATAGCTTCAGGCTGGCCCAAAGTATCTGCACCCAGGCCCAGTTTCAGATACTGGCCTGGGCCTCGTGCAGTTAGGCACGTCTGGGTAGCCCTTCAGACTACCAAGTGTTTGCCTCATTCTCATTGGCTCGTGGTAGATGTGTGACGACCATGTTGCATTCTCATTGGTCTGCGTCCACTGTGAGATGTGTCGGCCTCCCACTGTGTGTGCTCAGGGCGCAACCACCTAGCGCAGCTGTTGCTTCTGGAAGGAGCCACAAAAGGCTCATGTTGCTCTGTAACCAACTGGCGTGCGGCAACTGCTTGATACCCCACATCCGAAAAATGCAAAAATAGGCCTCACATGGATATGCAGGCCTGCCTCACTTAGGGCGGGCACGAGGCTTGCTGGGGGCCGCAGCCCAGAACATTCGCATGCCCGAAAGGGCCTCGCGGGGCTCAATCCTCGCAATTGGCCTCACCGCACTACACAGATTTTCACATGTATCTGGAGTTGACAGTGGTCCCGATACATTCAGAATGTTTTGTCAATCCAGATGTATCTGGGCCATGGCGAGGAGCAGTCCAGATACACATCCAACGTTGAGTAGTGGAGCAAGGGTCATTGATGAATTGGCACAATTGACTGATCGACAGAGAAGGGGAAAGAATGAGGAGGAAGGGACAGCAGACCACCTTTAGAAAAGGCAGCAGCATCAGAGGGAAGTTGGATGATGGGAGATGCAAAGGCAATAGAAGAGTATGGAGAGATGGTACAGGTCTTGCACAGATGGATGGGACGGAGGGGATAGTGAATGGAGCGTGAAGTCGGCGACTGCGTGAGCTGTGTACAAACAAGATGCGGGGCAGATACATCGGGGGGAAGATAAAAAGAGATAAGGTAAACCAGCAAAAGGGGAGGAGAAGATGATGGCGGGGTGGGTTGGGGGTTTTCATTATGGGGCAAAAGAGAGGGGGGATGGGGCAGGGAGAAGGCGCCTGTTGACAGAGCAGCACGACGGGGAGAACGAGGGCATGAAAGGGAAGGGGGAGGACAGGGGGAGGGAAGGCTAAAGCAGCGAAGAGCGAGAGGAAAAGCAAGGAAAAGGAAGGGCGGTAACGAGGAAAGAGATCCAAGCGAAAGTGTGCGGGGCACGAGGCTGACCGATGGACTGTATGAGACAAAGATGGATGTGGTGGTGTGGCAGATAGATGCAGCCCAGATGACTGGCTGACGGATGCCATCTGAATCGATCGGCACATGATATCGTTCTGTTAGATGGATAAGGGTTTTCTTTGTTTTTGATTCGGACCATTTCTCAATTTTTGTGTGGTATCCTTGTGCAGGGATCATGCTAATCTTCTCTTCATGGATCCAATTTTAACACATGTTCCAGAGGGCACTTTGCCTTTACGTTTGTTTGTTTGTGAAAAGCACATCAATTTTCTTTACTCTGAGCACAAACCAAAACCACATCCATTAAAAAAATGAAACAATACAGAAAATTAATTAGTGTGGCCCTGCGCAGGGATGAAACACATAAATTGAGAAATGTCCCTCTCCAGGAGAAAAAACAAAAGAAGCCAGAAATAGGAAAGGAAAACGTGCGCAGCATATATAAAGATCACCAAGATCAATAAGGCGAGACATAAACATCACAAAATGCGGTGAGGCTGGAAGTATGGAACTTAGATCAGCGGATTAATCTAAGGTTAGATTCATGACTACGAAGGAATGTTGAGGGCATACATGCAAACGCCCACACGCACACATGCAACCAACACTCCAACAAACACACACACACACACACACACACACACACACNNGCTCAACAACCATGCAGAGGAAAGCAAACATCACGTTAGCTAGGTTGTGTAATGGGGGGGGCCTGGGGGTCACCGGGTGGGCATTGTCGGTGCGAATACCCTTACAAGGGTATCCGCCCTGTTTTTTGCAAGTAATAGAAAATAAGTTTGATTTAAAGTTTAGGTATACCGCGCGAGGCGCGGCTGCGTCTGTGGATTACGTTGGTTGATTAGAATAGAGAGTGTGTGGGCACGCAGGCTTGAGGCGCCCATGATCTTTTTATTTGTTGATGATTGAAGAACCAGCGTGATCGCCGGCCGGGTCTTTTTACTTCTGATTGAACTAGGATTTCAAAGATTGTCTTATTATTGGTCCGCTTGCTTGTGACTTGTGCGTACGTGCGGAGGATGGCGTCGATAACCATGTGATTTTGAAAATGTTTCGGTAGATCTGCGCGTTGCGCAGTATTAGTTTATATAGGGGTCCACTTGTGCAATCAGACTCGTCTTATTCACACTTTTCATGTATGTAAACAGCAGCACAGCACACTGGTGACATGTGCCCACTCATAACTCAGAGATATGGCTTCGAGATACGAGTTCTCTTTCAACTGGCTATGGCGACTTAGCGCCCAAACAACTCACTGTTCACACACTGGATCACCCTGGATATCCCACACACGTCACTCTGAACGCTCACACATGCACACACACTCTTCCCACTAACTACAGCTATGGCAGCTATGGCTGCCTCTAACCTATCGCTATGGCTGTACTTCGTCCCCCTCGCCCACTTCTGCTTCGGGCTTCCAACAGACCTCCTTGCACAAAACGCTGAGACAGCGCTTCCGCATGGCTTCCGCATGAATGAATGAATGGCTGGGGGCTGCCTCTTGATTTATACTTCTTTAGGTYGTTGGTCTGGCCCATTTCCCTGGCCCGAAGTGCACACAGTCCYGTGCGGTACTTGCTTGACTGACTGGGGACTGGGACTGTTGACTCAACAGGGTAGACTWCCCCCACTTGCCCACTTGCCTCACCACTTGACCAYTTGCCTCTGCTTAAAMGTGGGCAACTCACGAAATGCCACTACCGGGACCTTCCGGAASGYCGTRGACTTGGCCTTTCGTGACTGTAGCAGCTACGMCTCTGACCCTTCTGGATTGTAGCAGCTACAACCTTGACCTTTCGAGAACACTACAGCTACGGTGTCTAGACCTGACTAAGACTCCTATCCGACAGGTYTACAGATCGAACCCATGCTACCTATGGACCCTACGACAACCTATCAGCTGTTACAAATACACAGGTCACGGGTTCAACTCTACAGGCCGACACAGGTACTGTACACAGGTAAGGTTGGGGTCTAGGGATCGAACCCTGGGATCTGCAGCAGCTACTGCTAACTGGTGAATACCGTTTCAGTGTTCACAGGAGACAAGAAGGACGAGGACCTCGACACTTGGTTGAGGACGGTTCCATTGTGGGTGAGGGCCAAGCGTACTCTGTGTGAGGAGGAGGTGATCACTGTTGCTTCTTACTTAGAAGGATCGGCAGCGAGATGGCTGAACAGGTATGTAGGGACAAAAGGGATTCGTCAGGTGAATGAACGACTGGGCACAGACCCAGACTTTGGAAAGCTTGATAGACTTGAGGTGCGATCGCACAACCCTCAGCAGGCTCAACAAGCCACAAATACCTTAGCCTGTCTTGATACTAAGAAGTACAAGACCGTGCGTGACCTCACCAGTGCCATAGAGAAACTGATTGTAGTTTCAGGAGTCCGCTATGATCCCCAAGTCCTCCTAACCATGTTCTTGAGATGACTTCCCACAAACATCAAGAATCTGATGGCTAGTGAGGCCAGCGTCGACTATCACACCGTCGACAACGTTAGCAACAAGGCCCTAGATTTAGAGGCAAACTTGGGAGGAGCTCAACAAATAGTTGTAGATGGGAGGAAAAAGAAGGTTTCACAAGAGTGGAAGAAAAAGGGTAATCAATTGATGATGGTTGATTACGAAGGGAATCAAACCGAGATCGATGATCTTTCCGATCTTGTGCAAGGCACAAAGATAGACAGCGAGGAGAATGTAGAGGGTGGAAACCTCGTGGTCATAAAGGGTAAGGCAGCTGGACGCGGCAAGTGCGCCCAACAAAAGAGTCAGGGGCAGGCACAAAACTCAAACAAGACTCTGGCTTGGGTGAGGGCTGGCTTGGATAAAGATGTGTGGAGAGACTGATATTCGCGAGGAACTTGCATCAACTGCGGCGAGTATGGCCATCAGCAGTTTAGATGCAAGAATGGGAAGGTGTTTAGAAGATTCCGCCCAAAGGTGGTTTTGGGGGATCTTCTGCCTAGGGTGGTGCTTCTACGAGCACAACCCCAGGAAACACATCTGGCCAGTAGAAGTTGTAGCTGCTTCTACTCATGCTGAAGTGGATGGTGTACCCTCACCACTTTTGGAGTTGGCCGAGGCTATTGACTCGCTAGTCACCTCGCAGACACATCTAGACCAAACAACTCTCTGTTCGTTTGATGTGTCTGAAGCCTTAGAAGACTTAGAAATTGAGTGGTCGGCAAAGGACCCTTGTGAGTATTGGGTGACACTTTCTAGAGGTCCTAGAGGGGAGCATTTTGTTGTTGAAGTCGGTGTAGGTAGCCGCAAGCATGGTGCCTTCGTGGACATTGGCTCCACGCATAACTTCATAAGTCGCGACTGCATTCAGAGTTTGCGTGTAGGGAACCGGGTGCAACACTTGGGTAGGTATGTAGCATCCACCCTGGCCAACAAGGAGCGCATGGTTGTCAATGACTACGTCAAAGACGTGGTCTACACCTATTATGGAGGTGGGGAACTTAATCATAAGATTTCGTTCCTAGTTAGCGACGACTTGTCATTCAACATGTTGTTAGGTAAGTACTACCTTCAGATTGCCAAGCCCCACACCGACTGGGCCCAAAAGGTGCTTAAGCCACCAGTACACCCAGGGCTAAATGTACGAGCCTAAATTTGAATTTTGTCGAGCCTGCAGGTGACAGATACCACCACTGGGAAAATTGAGGGTGGTACCGGTACCACCCTCTGCGCTGGACATACTATCAGCAGAAGGAAAAAAGAGGAGGCCGTCTATTTCTCGTTTTCACTCTACATCAACCCCCCTCGTTGCCGTAATTGCAGGTAGATACATTCATGAAGCGCAAGCCTAAGGACTTAGTGGCAAGAAACACATTATCCCGCCTCTCACGGCGAGGCGACAAGCTGTTAGAAAGAGCCTCTAGTGTTATAAAATGGAAAAACAAAAGTACTCGCAAAAAAAAAAAAAAAACATACTCACGATAGACCTCTTCTACTACAAAAAAAAGGCAATATATCTTTCCATGTCCTAGCAGTGGATTTAGTCTCGTTTTGCACATTTGGAGAGTAGTGCAGCAAGGCAATTTGGTGTACCTGTAGTCAGTCACACTCCACTACTCACCAGATGCACAAAAGACAAAACACATGGTGATGTATGTTTTCATGCTCTAACGAAAAATTCATGATATATTTTGCACATTTAGTGAGGAGTGGAACAAGACCCTCATTCTCAAAATTGTGTAGCAGCTGTGTCGCTGGAGAGTGAATCTTCCGGTAGAACATGGAAAGATACACCACCATGATTTTTGTCTTTTTTGCGTGTGGAGAGTAGTGGAGTGACGCCCACTGCAACAATTTTTTATTTTTATTTTTTTTCTCCCGACATCTTGTGTTATTTACTACACCCATGAGTTGGCGCCCATTGAAACAGACCCCTTCTGTCTCAAGAAACAAGCAAGGCACCTGTTTCAACAGGTGCCGTTTCCGCCATTTGTCAGTTTACTCCGTTGTTTTTTTTTTTCTCTTTTTTTCTTCCTTTCACCTCTCATCCATTCAATGGCATGCGGAAACTGCACGGCCTAAACCAGAAGGACATCTTCCAGTCCGTTCTCGTCCTTTGTTGGGCCCATGTGCTTCCTACCCTATAGCTCTACCTTGTCATCCCTGAGCCTCGAAGTTTCCTTGTGGCGAGAAGTTTATGTTTCTGCAAGTCTGGGGCCGTGTACTTGTGCTTTAAGCATGTGTTGCCTGAAGGGAGGACACTTATACTCGCTAAGTATAAGGCTAGCAGTTTGGTAGACTCCTACGGTTGCATGTGTGCATCACCGTTTTATAATTATTATAAACGGAACCAAGAGGAAGGTATGTACTTAGTCTTTGTCTTTGAGAAAAGAAAGGTCGTTAAATCACCCCCGCAGATAGAAGTTATCGTTGCTAAGTACCCTGATTTGTTTGAGAGCCTTCAAGAGTCGAACACAGGGAGGTTGTCCATAACATAAAAATTATCCTAGGTAGCAAGACACCAAAGGGGAGGATCTATAGGATGGCTCCGACCGAGTTGAACGAGCTTCGTCGGCAACAGAAAGAGCTGACAAAAAAAGGATGGATATGGCCTAGTATTTCCCCCTTCGGGTCACCAGTTCTATTCGTTCCGAAGAAGGGGGATAGTTGAGGATGTGCTTTGATTATAGAGGCCTCAATGCCATTATTGTGAAAAACGTTCCGCCTCTACCATGCATTGACGACCTATTGGATAAGTGCAGGGACGTAAATACTTTAGGAAGATAGATTTAAAGTCAGGATACCATCAAATCGCCATTAGACCAAAAGATCGACACAAAACCGCATTCCAGACCAAGTACGGTCTGTACGAGTTTGTATTGATGCATTTTGGCCTTCGCAATGTGTCGAGTACATTCTAGCATGCCATGAACAAGGTGTTTTATGACTACCTGGATAAGTTTGTTGTCATGTAGCTTGACAATATTCTTATCTTCCCTTGAACAGTCGAGGAGCATGTGCAGCATGTAGAACTTGCACTTTCACTTCTGTGGCAGCACCAGTATAAGATCAACTTAGAGAAATGCGAGTTCGGTCGCACTAAAATCTTGTACTTGGGTCATGAGATATCCGCGGCTGGAATTAGGCCCAAAGATGCAAAGGTGGCTAGCATTCGTGACTGACTACGGCCTCAATCTGTGATGGAGGTCAGATCGATTTCGGGAATGACGGGATACTACTGCAACTTTGTGAAAAACTACAGCACTGTAGCATCCCGCTTGACCGATGTAACACGCCTTGACACTCCTTGAGAATGGACAGACGAATGCGAGGGTGTCTTCAAAAGGCTTAAGTATGCCCTCATGCATCATGAGGCTCTTATGGTTCCCGATCCGCAGAAGCCATTCATCTAACACTTGACGCAAGCCAATATGGCCTAGGAGTTGTCTTGGCTTGGCTGAAAGGGAAAAAGTTAGGTCGATCGAGTACATGAGCAATAAGATACCATTGAAGAAGTTGGCAAAATCCACCTATGAAAACTATATGCCCTTTACAAAACTTTGGTCCACTGGAGGCACTATGTGTTGGGAAGGTTCTTCTATCTAAGAACTGGCCACCAGACACTCAAGTGGATCAAGACGCAGCCTGGATTAAACGTTGGATTGAGGTCATAGATCGGTATGACGTCAAACTAGACTATGTGAAGGGAGAGTACAATAAGGTTGTTGATGCACGACGGACACTTTCTTGCTAAAGTACTCGACTGGGTGCCAATCCACGCCATCGTGTTGCTCGAGAATGGCACCAATGCCATAGTCAGACGCATCGGTAGTGACGCACGTCGGCAAAAACGGGTCGTAGATGTGACCTCCGTGGATAGCAAAGCGGCTTTGAGGGCCAAAACTGAACTCGCGCATCGTCACTGAAGTCGAACGACCGATCCTCGCATTGAAGCTTGGTTAAGTTGGTTGCGATCTTCGAAAAACTTTATATAAATCGTTGATAGTAGCCAGCAAGGTCAAGGAACGAACGGACATCCATAATGTTCCGCGGCTCCGGCCACTCTTGGACGGCTTGAATCTTGTTCGATAACAGACTGACGCCCTCCAGTGTGACGAAATGGCCCAAATACTTCAACTCTTGCCGTACGAATTCACACTTGTCACGGTTGGATTTGTACTTGGAGCGATGGAGCATCTCCAACACGTGTCGAAGATGCTTGAGATAGTTCTCCAAGGTCCGGCTATAAACGAGAATGTCGTCCAAGTAGACCAGCATGAACCGGTCCAACATTACGCGGAACTCGTTGGTCATCGCCGCTTGAAATGTCCACGGGGCATTGGTGAGGGCAAAAGGCATGACCACCCACTCAAAGTGCCCGTACTGCGTCCTGAACGCGGATTTGTGGTGATCGTCCGAGCATATCGAAATCTGATGATAGCTCGACTTCAAATCCAACTTTGAAAAGAACTTCACACCGCCCAACCGCTCAAGAAGATCGTCAATACGAGGAAGAGGCCCTGTATTCTTGACGGTTTGCATGTTGATGTAGATCCTTGTTCTACTTTCGTACGAAGAGAACTGGCGCACCATATGGTGAGCTACTAAGGTGGACCTATCCCTTCTCCAACAAGTCGTCGAGTTGCGCGCGAAGCTCTTCCTTGCTCATGCGATAGATGCATCCCTTCAGCAACACTACACTGTCCTCAAGAATGATCTCATGTCAGATCGGTCGATCTGGCACCACACCGGTAGGAGACTCGAAGATGTTGGTGAACTCGTCAAGCAACCACACCACACGGGGGTCCGAAGACAAGTCCATGGGTGAAGAGTTGGCTACCGCGGCGGTTGGAAGAAAGCATAGGCCAATTTCATCAGTTCGCTCGTAGGCACAAGTGGCCCAAAAAGATTTGGCTGTCACAACTTGGCACCAGATCGAAAGGTGCGGAAGAGGAATGGTACACAACACCTCGGCGCCAAAGGTGTCACGAACGGTAAGTGTCCGCCGGTGGAAGTTGACCGTGTGATCTGCACTTGCAAGCCAAGGCATCCCCAAAATGATGTCGAAGTCCATGTCCAAGATGTCAAACTCACCGTTTCGCATGCATGAGGTGCGAAATAAACCGGTATGGCCTCGATGTAGCGGTCAATGAGTTGTTGCATTCGACCGTCTACCAACTTGACCGCTGTAGAATTTGCCTTCCTTCGAACTTGTGCGCCAAGGCCAGTCCTTTGAATAAAGGACTGGCTCATGAACTTGCGACTCGCGCCGCTATCCAGCAAAGCGCTGCAGGGTCCTTGCCCAACTTGGATGCGGACGTAAAGGAGTGGTGATGTAGCGGACCTCTAGTTGGCCTGTGAGACCATCCCCTTGGCCTGTTCTCATAGGCCTGTGTTGTATTCGGGGTAGTCCAGTCCAGGCCGGTACCTCTGTCGGTACCAGCCAGTCCAGTCCAGTCCAGTCAGCCCGCTGGGGTATACCCCAGCCAGAGTCTGTACTTTGGGTCATGCTACATTCGCACAGTTTGGAGTATGTGCGTTGGAGTCCGTGTGGGAGCTGCGCTGTGCCATCTTGCTCCACCCTCATCCTCCATCTTCATCTCTATCCCAGGCGGAGCACCTCACCCGGTGGGTCCGCCACACTGGTATCAGAGCGGGAATGTTCCCTACTCCCACCCACCATACTGCATAGCAGGAAATACTGCAAAACCCGACAGCGGTTTTTTTGGCTGTTTTTCGGGCGTTTGCAGCGAAAAATGGCGGGAAATCGTGACGAGAGGTGCAGCAGGGAAGAAGTGACAAGTCGCGAGAAAAGAGAGACAACGATTACTACGCATGCAGAAGGGAAGAAGTGACACGTGGCGAGAAAAGAGAGACAATGATTACTACTCGCGCGCGCAAGTGCCAAGGCCAAGGCCACCGCACACACACACGCGCCCACGCTGCGCTGCCCCGCCCCGCCCCGCTCCGCTCGGCTCCCGGATTAGTTATATCAAGATCCGGGATGCATGTTGCTGCCAGGGTTTGAACCTGGGCAGCTGCTGGCCATGCGCGTGCATAGCTGCTGCCATAACACAATGGCCACAGTGTGTGTATGGCTCTGTAGTGCGGCACGTTGGTGTTGCAGAAGTGTTGTGCCCACTATTCACCCCCCCCCCCGCCTGGGGCGAGCAGCCAGCAGCGGCCAGCAGGGCAGCAACGGCCGGGCTGCTATTTGCCCCCTGCCTGCCCCCAACACACGACACTCCTCTCGTCGCACTTTGCACGTCAATCGTATTCGAGCCTGTCTCTTATACACATCTAGATGTGTATAAGAGATGTGGTTGTTGCTGCCTACGTACGTGGCCATCTGCAGTGCCACATGGCAACTTGCTGTGGAGCTGAAGACCCGTGTAGTATAGGCCAATCTGGGTGGCTGATCAAGATCTCAGCACACCCAACTGCTGCTGATGATGCTGACCATTATTTGTTTTTTACTGCTGCACCAGCAATTTGCCACCAATGAAGACCCCCCCTGGCTAGGGGGCTGAGCGTTGTCGCACTTTTTCTAGTCAGGCCTCTTCGGGCGACCAGAAAGCCAACAGGCTGTCACGCAGGGTTTGGTTGAGGATTGCAATAAATAAAATAAATTAGATAAAGCAAATCCCTTCCTATTGTGTGCGTCCGGCTTCGAGCGAGACCCTTCAATTCCGGTCTTCGCTGGTCCCCAATCTTAGGAATCTTTTATTTTGATTCCAAACAGCAGAGAATCATGCCAATAATAATCATAGAAATGTGATATGTCATGAAAGCATCGATTTTGCCAATTTTTTTACTTTGAGAAACTGTAACAGGATCATCAGAGAACATAATCATCAAGCAATGCAACGTGAATGATGCAAGGCAGACTGACTCGAGTAATGACAGAGATAAATAAGGGAAGCTTGAAAACTCATAATCATCGCAGGAAAGCACAAACGAATAGACACGGCCAACACCAGTCAAAAGTCCTCACTTGTCTATCTAAAGTCTCATCACTGACCTCTCAATTGATTGTGTGTCTCTTGTGCCTCAAGCCATGTCTATGTACTTCCTGAGATTGTGGCCTCTTAATGTAGAGCCACGTAAAACCTGCAAGCTCTGAGCATTTTCATCCAAGGCCCATGATGTGGAAGTCAATCATAGCACAAAACTCCCCCCACAGAGTAGGAAGATATGGTTGAGAAAAAATCCCTCGTCTGAGGTGTCTGAACTCGGACAGCTCAGTAACCGCCTCATAATCGATCGTTGCAGGCGAGATATATCTCTTGGCCAGATCTTCCAGGTCTCCCCAGAAGGAACCATCCATGAGAGTAAAAGGTACTGGAGGCTTGGGGTAGCCAGTGTAGAGCTTGGGTTCGAAGCTGCGGATCAGCTTGATACTGCTCTTGTCAAGTTTTTTTTCTCTCTCTCTCTTCAAGGTATCTAGCTGCTGAGATCCAAACTGAATCAAAGTGTTCATGAGTCTCCTCTCCACGTAGGGTCTTAGATCGTGGATGGTGCCTCTTGCGAATCTGGTGAGAACTGCAAAGACTGATAAACCCTCTTGTCTGAAACCAACAACACTGACATACTGATATTGGAAAGCTTCATTGGAAGCAATCCTGTTGAGCCTGGCCAAAACTGACCCGTCGACTGAAAATGACCGAACTATACTCATGTGCTGAGCCGGATACTGAAACCGATCTCTGTGCCTTTCAACAATGACTAACTGATTGCTGATTGAAACTGACTGGAAATTTCGAGTAACTCGGACGATTGAATGTTGATTGAGTGGAGGTTGAATGCTACTTGAATGATGCTCGAATGTTGTTTGAATGATGTTTGTATGTTGTTGCTGATTAAATACTGAGGTATCAGTTTGCCGAGATATCACTAGGCGCCGGAACACTGAGAAAACTACAAGTCAAGATGGGGTACTTGCTGACTGGAACTGACTGAACCGTACCCATAAGAATGACAGTTTCACTGCCAGTTTCCGAATGATCACTTTTCTTGTGTGACTGTGTCGAGTATGAGTGGGTTGTGCTGATTACTTTACCACTCAAATTCAGATAATGCGCTGTGTACTTTGATCAGTAGTTTGCCCCATAATGGCACTGGGTGCCAATGAAACACGCGTCCGCGGGTCCGATCTCGGATGGCGGACGCAGATGGGGCCGCGTCCGCGGCCAACCTGGTCCGCGCCCGCGGACCCGATTTTACCAGAATTTTCCTGAATTAAATAATAGGTTAAAAAAAACAAAACAAATATGGGGTTGTAGGGAGTTTTAAGCCCTACAACCCCATATTTTTTGTTTTGGAATCCGACTTTGTTTAGGATTTTTAAAAAATCAAAAACTAAATTCGATTTAACGAAAATTAAAAACAAATATATAAAGAAAGCTGGATTTTTTTTTGGTCGTTTTTCATCATGAGATATATGGTCCCTGAGTTCACCTGTATTTTTTTAGAAATGAATTTCTGTTTTTTGCAGGGGTATGAGGTGTTTAACATGCAAAATTTGGAAATAAATAAAGAAAAAACTTCAGAAAAGGGGTTTGATTGATTGATTGATTGTGAGTGAGTGAGTGAGTGAGTGTGTGTGTGTGTGTGTGTGTGTGTGTGTGTGTGTGTGTGTGTGTGTGTGTGTG